AATTTTTTTGTCTTTTTTTTTGTGTCAAATGTATTTCAGAAGTCACATTAATTTCTTCAGGTCCTTTCAGTAATAGAGGTTATGTTTTTGATACTGTTTGTTTGCCTGCCTGACTGTCTATGTGTGGGTCTGTCTGTTTGTAAACTTTGTTATCAACATAATGCAGCTAAGTGAATTTTTCAGGATAGGTCAGAAATGGGCTAACTTGAATTTTATTAGAATTTGGTAGTGATAAATGAGAATTGAGTGGTTTTGGCAGAGATCTCTGTTTTTCTAGTTTTTATCTTTTCTTATTTCTTTCAGTGATGATGGTCTGTATCTTGGACTTGGAACAATAAATGGCAGTATAGCTATTTATATAGCTTTTAGTTTACAGGTAGGTTTAAATATGTTTTGTTATTCTTTTTGAACTGTTTATATAAGGTTTAGAGAGATTTGGCAAATATATTAACTGTGCTTGGACCTACATGCCTTTTTTTCTATACTTTTGCAAGTAAATTCCTAATTTTGTTATTTTTTCATTTATTTTTTTCCCATTTTGTCAAGGCCAGTTATAACTTGACACTCTGTTATTATTGGTAATTTAGTAAATATGTAAAAGTAGATTAAACCCTCAGAAAGCAATATAATATTCTTACTCTTATATAAATATTTATATTGCAGTTTCTAAAATGTTTTTTTACTGATTTATTTAAGAATATTTCTTTTAAAAATTAAGTTATACTTTATAACGCGTACAGCTGTTGTCTTCCAGTGTTTACACCAAGTAAGAGAAGCCCATAGTATATTCATAACAGGGATTGAGTTCCTTCCCAGCACTTCCACAGCACAGGCAATAACATTTGGACATGATGTCAGTCTTCTAAGTGTATCTGTAGATAAACAGATTAAGATTCATCAGGTGCCAACAAGAGGTAGGTTTCTTTACAGCCTCAGCTTGTTTGGTCATGCCCGTAAAAGATTAAGCAAATTATTGCATTTTTTTGGCAGTTTATCAATGATTTTTTTAAAAGATTAAATATACTGTGATGACCATATTTATTTATTTATTTTTAAATATTGTTCAGTATGTCATATGCCTTAGTTATTTTTATTGTTTTCCACTTGTTAAAAGGTCAAGACATAAGGGATATAGTCATGCCTTTGATGACCAACATATTTTTATACTGATAAGGTCAAATATGGGAGGTTGATATTGGATTTCTAGGTTCTTGCACTTATCATTATAATTGAACTCCCTGCGTTTTACTTTTTAAAAACTTTCTACTGCCAGCTGAACTCTAGAGTAATATCAGGTGTGTTAAGCTTTCAAAAATAGAATCAGGATTTCTATAAAGCCAATTTTATTAAAAATGCTGTAAGAATAGCATTTATATTGTTTTGATGTATGAATTTTATAGAATATCGATGTGCATAAATGCCTGGGTATTTAATTTACCCCAGTTGTTTTGTACTTTTCAGGTAGTATCAGTGCTGTGTGGGTGCTCTTAGGGGCCTTCATCATCATGTGTGCTATATTTTGGTTCCTGGCAACTATTGGTTTATGATGAAATCCACAGATACTTCAATGGGATATTTGATGAAACATACGATACTCAAAGATTTGTAGCTGAGTGAGAATTGTATTGCTACAAATATTAGGTTTGACATGGAACTGTGAATACTGGGGAAAATGTTTGCCTGAAACTCATACCCATGCAAACTTGTCATGAGACTTGTTTCCAGATCTTCTTTATTATGAATTATTTTAAAACTTTTTGTGTCTTTTATAAAATGTTAGATTTTTCTGGTTTTGATGGTAGTTTATATCAGTAAGGGGGGGGGGGGGGGGGAGGAGCCTTGGTCGTCTTTCAGTCGCTTGGTTTGGTCTATGCATGTATTTACAATAACTTAGATATAAAGTCCTTAAATTGTTTGAAAGTAAAAGGGAGTTCCATGCTCTTGACACCCTTTATGAAGTAAGTCTTTCCAGAAACTAAACATATTCTTCTTTTGAAATTTCATTGTGTATACATGTGTGTGTGTGTGTGTGTGTGTTTGTGTGTGTGTACTGTGATCACTTTTTAGTGGACAAAATGACTACATTGTATTTATCTTATTGGGTCCATGGATTGATGTTTATTTATTATGGGGAAAATGTACAAAGCAGTTTTTAATTTTCTTGAAAGTAGCATACTTATATTACAAATACATACCAAAGTATAAAAAGTAAGTCATTTTTTAAACAAAATTAGGTCAAGCAACTTGGAATAGGAATACTTTTTCTGTGGTACACATATAGTACCAAAAATGAAATACAAAAAAATGTTTAATCACAGTGAATTGTTTAAGTATATGATGTAAAATTTTGAAAAATGATTCGGATGGTCTATGTCAAACAAAGCTGTTTGATTGTTTACCTCTACCGTTTGATTGGTATAATACGTATGTAATGGAAAATTGAAGTTACAAACCCTGCGTCTGTACGAGCTATGTTTTCACCAATGTTGGTTTACACTTTAAATTTAATGTATGTTTTCAGCCAAATTACTCAATAAAATTAACTGCCACATATTTGCGTTATTTTAATTTCACGCGTCTCCCTTCCTTGTGATAATATCGTTGTCCTTTTTTAAAGCCGCGACGATAAACAGATTTGTCCCCTGTGGTTTAACTCAACATTTTTATTTCCTAAGACGGAATTTCGTCATAAACCATGCCTTTTTAACCGACATTGAATCTGTGGCATACGTTCCCTTTCTCGATATAGGAATAAAACTTGAATATTTTATACACCGAGGCTTTCCGACGACGTGTTCAAGTTCCTTGGCCAGTCTCATTCATGCCACTTGTCTAGCCACTTGAATAGTGACATCTCTGTATTAGCTTGTGACTAAATTAACAAAAAGGCGCCCTATTATATAAGGGGCCCCTAAAATAGTATACAGAATCAAACAATAAGTCATGACTCCCGTCTGTTAACTGTGGGCCTTGGCTCAGATATGTAGACCGATAGACCTGGGACTGTTTTCATAGAACTGTGAAAAGGCCGAAAATGAATCTAAACTTTAAGACCAAATTTGGTCTACTTCAGTTCAAGCAATCCATTTTAATTAGGCATCGGTATGAAACATAAGCCATTCGTTCCCTTATGTAAAACGGGCACAATATTTCATTTCATTGGACTAATGGGTCAAACTTGAATTTTATTTTAGAAATTTAGGCCAGGTTCCGGACTGTAGATCACTGAAAGTTCTTTTTTGAAACCGGGTCCTGTTGGTTAAGTTTAGAGTTTAGTTCTTTTTTCAGGTTAAACAGAGCTAACGAAAGTTATTCTTAACACGATCGTCAATGCCACTTACAGATTGTAAAACAAACGTTGGTACAACAAAAATGGATACAATCAGTCCGACAATGCACGAGACGTATGTTAAGTACACTGGCGATAGACCTTTATATCAGTTACATGTACATAAGGCTTTATATAGGCTTTATAAGTGATAAGTAAGTGCGTGATATCACATAAAACCTACAATTCATTCTATTGTAATTTTTACATAATTGTGCTTAGACCTGTTTGTTACAGGCCTATAAGCCCCTACTCACCGCCTAATCATCTCTTTCATTAAATAATTTTCCTGAAAATTTAAGAAACATTCCCTTTATCACCAAGGTACATGTATGTCATGTCAAGAAAAAAGCGTTAAGAGAATTATTTTGGAGTTTTTACATTCTAGTTTTAATTTCGCTAGCGCTCTTCTGAGAAATGTGACATGCAACTCACCCAAACCAAATATAGTGGTGCAAATGAGGTGACATGCATGCTCTTAAAATATTTGGTGCACAGATTACTAACTATGTTTGATTATTGAGGGTCTCACATGAAGAGTTTGTATCAAAGTTTCACTCTCCTGGAACCATGAATAGTTAAAAAATAATTCATCGATTAACTCCAGAAAGGAACATACGTTACTGTCATAAATGCAAAACGTCCAGCTGTGAAAAAGTTTTACCCAGTGTAATTTTTATTTATTTATTTATTTTTATTTTTATTTTGTTTATTTACTTTATTTTTTTTTTATTATTTTTTTATTTTTTATTTTTTTATTTTTTTTGAGCGACTTTAGTTTGCTTGTCACTGAATATCATTAAAGGGGGGAAATATACCCTACTGATAGTAAAATAAGCATTAAAAATCTATTTTCCAGTTGTGGTCAAAAAATTATATCAGTGATGTCAAACTATCATGGAATCACAATACAGTTTTCAGTCAGCAACAAAAACTCCTATTGCACAAATTACTTGAACAAGATGAAACTTTCTGACATTTTTTCTGGGAAACATACGTTACATAGTATTGGCCATGACGCAAAGCCCCTTGAGTTGCAGTTTAGATATTTTAAACATCATCCCTACGTCATATATATATCAGAACGCGGTATAAAAATTAAAATCATATGGCCCGGAACATACGTTACCGGAACATACGTTTCCATTTACACAATGTATAAACATGGTAAAAATTAAATGCAGATGTAAAATTGAGACAGCCGTGGATTTTTGTTCCATACACATATGTATTAAAAAACTGAATACAACTTCGAATTCATTCAATTTTTTATTTATTTATTTATTTATTTATTATTATTATTATTATTATTATTATTATTATTATTATTATTATTATTATATATTTATTTATTTATTTTGATACTTAGAACATGTGAAATGCTCCTCTTTATTGGGTTTGCTCGAACTATGAGTTAGAATTCACACCAGAACGAGTCAAACTAAAAACGAAGTAGCCCTACACAAAAAGGATCTATGGATTGTTATTATCTGATTGGTTTTGAGTACGCCTAGACCTCTATGGTTAAGAGAAATGGGTTGCAATTTCCAACAAAATTTTGCTTCTGGCTTACATGTGCATCCGTATTGGCATACTTATAAATTTATTATTATAAAGCAACTTAAGTTCTTACGTTTTCATACTTATAGTACACTCACTCTCAATATATATAGGTCCATTTGAAGAAAACAAAAGTGAAAATGAAGTTTAAGATATATTCACGAATTCTACTTTTTCTAAACCGTGACAGAAGGTGATAAATCTGGCTTTTTGTGTAAATCATTCAAAATTATAAAATTGGTGCACGGGGATATTTCGTATTCAGTAACGAAGGTTTTAGCCTATTTTAGTAACAAAAGTTATAAAACTAACCTCTGTGGGTAATATTCGCATGTTATTAAGAGCAGTAGGAATTTTTTTTTGTGTGTGTGTGTATGTGTGTGTGCGTGTGTGTGTGAACATATAAATCTAGTAATTATTATCTTTATTTTTTAAGTGTACTGATGTTCCACTTTGACAAACAATTCTTACTTTTGCTTGTTGCGGAAGTGACGTCACTCAGGAGAGCTCTTGAAGTTACTGTACGAGGAAGTAATGTGTTACTGTACCAGCCTTTAGGTGAACATACGATCTTAATGAGTAAATCATTACTTAGGTAGAGATTCAAAGAATGTACATCTAGTCATCTAAAATAAAACATATATAGGTAACATAAACTGGTTCGAGAAAATTTAGCTATGGTTTGATATGACAATTAAACTTAAGTAGGAACCGCAGAGAGACTTTAAAATACCATACTACATGTACCCCGTGCTGTAGTCTACCATAATGCCCAAAAGGCAATTAAAATTTACGAGGTATTTTAATAAAAGCGCCAAGTGTATGCCATAAAGGATTATAAACTAATATTTACTTTATTGAGTAGTACTTGTACTTTCCCTGCTTTAGTCTAGACATTATATAATGTATATCAAACTGTATATGGTAATCACTCTGCGGATTACATCTTGTATTTGTATTTGATCATGCCTGGATGTAGGGCGATTGTCAATAAACTTCTGATTCTGATATTTACATGTAAATGTTAAGCTTGTATTTGCACAAAATTTTTATAAGTGCATGTGTACGGTACATGTACATGTACTGTACATGTAACTTGTGTACACCTAAGAGGTCATCCATTTTTATCCTCATTTCCACAAGTCTACACAGAGTGGACTTTTTCTAGACTACCCCCCCCCTCCCCCCCCCCACCCCCCTCCATTCAGAGAGTACAAAGTGATGATCTTTGCAAGCACAACCTGGGGGTGAAGAAGATAATTTTTATTATTTCCAAAAGTGTATCCCCCCCCCCCCCCCCCCCGGCGTATGATTTGTAGACTTGTGAAAATTATGATAAAAATGGATGATCCTAACTACTGAACATAAATAACAAATCTAACAAATATTTTTAAAACAGTTTTCAGCTTGAAGTCCTGTTTTGGAGCGACACTCACAGCTACATGAAGAAAATGAACAGGTCCCATATGGATTTTTTTAACGGGCACTGTTTCTTTCACATGTTCTTACTCTTGTTGTTGACCATAACTTCTATTATGCCTGTTGTCATAAATCCAAAGGAAATAGAATCATGTAGGCATACTACAATTATCTTAATAGGAGCAACTGGAGACTTGGCAAGAAAATATCTGTGGCAAGGGTTTTTTGAACTGTTCATCAAGGAACAAGCTAGATTAACTACTTTCACTTTTATTGGTTGCGCTCGATCTGACCAAGACAGTGGAGAGATTAAACTGCAGAAGATTTTGTTAGATGTGGTTAGCTGTGATGATATTTCCAACATTTCTCCTGGTAACTGCCAAATATTGAAAAAAGATTTCATTAAACTTACTCATTATCATATGCTCAAAGGCGAAGAAATGTATGCAAGTCTTAATGACAAGATTGAAGTCTTTCAAAGGAAAGCTGCCAAGCAAGCGGAAGGAGTTGGCATTGGTTTCATAAGTGACCGTATTTTCTACTTGTCCATACCACCATTTGCATATTTAGATACTTCACGAAATATTCACAAGTTCTGCCGTCCTTCCACCCCGTACTCAGGGCTCCGCCTTGTTCTGGAGAAACCTTTTGGAAAAGATTATGCCAGTGCGAAATTTATGTCAGATGAACTTGCAAAACATTTCAGGTAAGGAAAATAAAAAGGCTATTTGTGGTTGAGGCAATAGATTTTTATTCCTGGACCTGCTTTAAGTCATTGTATTTGTATACAGGACCATTCCATAGTATACTAAAAAGCAAATTCAATTTTAAGATTGGTTTCCTGTTAGTTGGGTAGTTCTTTTCATGAGGCCATATTATTTTCTCATTCAAATTTCATCCAAACTGTAAATTTAGTGCTTGTTCATTTTGTTCTAAACTGTAGAAAAGTATTACTTAAAAGATTTATAGGCCTGAAATACAGGTTGAGTTCAAAAACCAGCCTCAACGGATTCTTTATATGGAAGTTATGCACTTTTGGTGAAATGTTCATTTTTCACATATTTTTATGTTAAAGGTGTTTCAGAACTGATATGCTGTTAAGTATTATGTAATATTGTGTAAAATTTTAAGAAGCGCTATTTTGACCACTGCCACCATAAAGACCATTTAAGAAATCATTTTACTAATGATTCTCAAACTTACTAAAAAGAATTATAAACCTGAGATACAGGTTGAGTTCGAAAAAATCAGCCTGATTGGATTCTAGCTTTGGAAGGTACGTATTTTTTGTAAAATGTTCATTTTTTACATATTTGCATGTCAAAGGTGTGACTTTGGGCCTCCATGGGCCTGAAGACCTTTACTAGTTACATTTTGTTAATATCTATGATACTTATAATATATTGTTCAAAATTGGTGATGATTATGCTGTTAAGCATTGTGTAACATTAAATCAAATGATGAAACCCCCTATTTTGGCCAATGCCACCATATTGACCATTAATGGGAAACCATGTTACTCATGATACTCAAACTCACAGAAAAGATTCAAATGGCTGAAATACAGCTTATATTGGAAAACCATAACGATTGGATTCTTTTTCTCAAATTAAGTTTGTGAAATGTTAATTTTTCACATATTGGCATTTAATTGTGGGACTTAGATCTCCCATGTGCATGAAGCCTTACAGTAGTAACATTTTCTGAATGTCCATGTTATAAATAGTAAATAATTAAAATTGGTGATGATTGAGCAGTTATAATCATATAATATTGCATCAAAATTGACAAAAAACTATTTTGTGTACTGCCACTATCAATGCTATGAAAGAAAAAACTGTGTTGCTTATTATTATGTAATAACAACAATGATCCTTAGGATTGACATACAGCTTAAATTGGAAAACTAGCTTGATAGGATAATTTTCCTTGAATTTATAGAATTTATGTGAAATTCTCATTTTTGTCATTCCAGCATTTTCAGTGTATAAATTTGAACTATCACGAGCCTGATGCTTTATGCTAGTTACATATTCCTAGCATCTGTGTTACTTGTTGTGCAACTTTGGTGTTGACTTTGCTGTTTAGCAAAACATATTATTACAACAAAATTTACAAAATAATCTTTTATGTGTATCATTATTATCTGCTTTTTGTCTGTACACTTGATAGCTTTGCTGTCTTGTTTAAGCAAGCACCCCTTATTTTTATTACACTTATTGATTTTATTACACTTGTCAACCAAATACCACTTGTGTTGATAATAACAAACATGGCAAAAACTCTAAATGTGTTGCACTAGTGGGCCCAGGGCCTGCTGAAAGCTGAATATTGCAGACTCTGCCAAGATATTGCAGGTCCATATATTTTTCTGAGACATAGTATTCTGGTCACAAATAGATTTTCAGTCATTTTCTGTCACAAAATAATTGTTTTAAATGCATGCCTGTGTGTATGTGTGTGCTTGTTTTTTTTTTTTTTTGTTTTTTTTTTTTTTTTTTTTTTTTTTTTTTTTGTCCTTTTTACTCCCAGGAAGCAAACTGATTTTTTAAACATGCATACTGTATATTAGTGGCTCATTTGGGCTGATTTATGCTGAAATTTCTTCAGAATTGCCATTCTTACTTCACTGTTGCTTGGCACTGGCCTAAAGTTCAGCAAGCTTTTCCATGCATGACTGCAACAGGGGTTTGTAAATTAGTGTAATACTGAATGGATAAGGTAATAAAACTCTCTCCCCCTTGCAATCTGCAGCAATCATAGTACTATGGAATGACCATAAAAACTATTAAAATTATTTAACATGCATTCAGTTAACTAAAGTATTAGTTTTTAAGTGCCCTTTAAAAAGATTCTCATTTATGTTATTATTTAGTGCAGTGTAGTTTTAATTCTGCTTTGAACACATACTTGCCCATAACAGCTAGTCTAATTGTTTGGTGGGAACAAAGTTGAAGCATGATATTATACCTAAGCACTGATAAAGCATCGAACCCTTCTTTATGCTCATAGAATTGATGAATTCATGGAACAGCACTTTACTGGTCACATAAAGATGATAATTTTGCAGATTAAGTTCTTTTCTTTATGGTGTAATAATGGTCTCTTCATTACCTTAAAGACATTGCACCAGTGAAAGCATAACATAGATCATGTTTGATGATATCAAGACTAAACAACCTCCTGCAAATTAGTTTTTGAGATAAAAACTGTGATTACATAGAGATGCATACTTGGTTTGAAGGCAAACAGTTCAACCACTTTAAGTCAAATTTGCCACTAGGTGGCATAATTTGCTGTACAGTTGAGTTTGGCTTGTTTTGTGCAGGAGTGGTTGGTATCACCTTCCAGTGTAGGCACACACCTTTAAACATAAAGAGTTGATGGTTAACCTCAGATAAAAAAGTTATGTGTGTTACATACTTCAGTTTGTGTTTTGAAAATCATTGTTTTTTATGGAAGTGGTAACAACAGAGTCTTGGGGTTTCTGACATGTAAGAATACTGTACACGATCTAGGATTGAAAAGAGCAAAAATTCCACCACTCTTTTGTGCCTTTTGTATTCTCTGGTGGTCTAAACAGCCAAAGCCATGATATATTTTTCAGCTATACTCAGTATAAAGTATATCCAATCAGATCTTAATGAATAGAAAGATATTGGTACCACCTTCCAGTGTAGGCACAAGATTGACAAACTGAATATCAAGACATAAAAGCTACAATGCCAAGAAAGGGCAGCTGCATCATTCCTTGTACACTCTAGACAACTATTCTCATAAAACTAACCCCTTTTCAGTAGCAATTTTGAATTACAAAAGCATGAAGAACTGCTCAGATGTAAATTTTGTGATTATTGAGAATATGAATGTTATAATGCACCATTAGAAAATATGAACGAAATATGATTCTGTAACTACCCACAAAGTTGGGATGCTTATTTCAAAGTGATATTAATGTTACGGGATACACATTGTGTTGAAGGATGTGGTGGCAATTCAGGATCCAGTTATGGACTATAGCTTACGGATTCTAATATCTATCTTCTTTGTTATATTTTGCATTATTAGTCTTGATCTTCTGTAGAACATTACGCTTTTGTCATTGATTTTTCTTACGTTATTGAAAAAGAGACATTTTTGAAGAATCTCCTTTAAAAATCTGATTTAATTATTTTTTGTTTAAGGTGTACATACTGACATTAATGTTAATCCTTCTTTATTGTTTCTAGAGAGGAAGAAATTTACAGAGTTGACCACTATTTAGCCAAACCCATTGCCATGCAGGTATTACCAGTAAGGTGGGTTGATGCACTGTGATACTGAATTCAGTGGAGATTTTTTTAATGATTAATTTTTTCATTGGAGCTGGAAAACGAAGGTTGACTTGTTTTTAACACCTAGATAGTAATAGGAAGTTTGCTTAGAGTTTGAGTGATGGGACTACAGGTTAAAAATTGTGTGTCATTACAGTTTGAGTGATGGGACTACAGTTTAAAAATTGTGTGTCATTACAGTAGTGAAGGATATATTTAAAAATGTTAAATTTTGTGAACCACAGTTTTGTGTAATGTACAAGCAGGCGTGGAAACGGGTCTTTCTATAACCTAATGAAATAAAGCCTAAATGATTTCATTGTGTTAATGTCTTTGAGTTATACAGGGTACTTCCAGTCTATCAAGTTAAATCAAATGCACTTTGATTCTTTGTTCAGTATGATGTTTCATTTCTTTCAGAACAAACAATGTCCACCTGGAGATGGTTTTGAATCGAAATCATGTAGAAAAGGTCGAAGTGGTATTAACAGAAACATCAGATGTGAAAGGTGAGATAAAGGATGGGGAACCCTCTGTGTTTGGCATAAAGAGATCCAAGGGTTACATCATATTTAAGTGGTAGATTTATCAAACTGACATCATTTTAACATGCAGCTATTCAATTCAATCTTCAATGCAATTAGGTGGCACACAGTTGATGTGGGATTACAGTTGGGCAGAAACTATTTATATCTAACTTAACTCTTACATGTTTAATAATTGAGCCAATTTTATGCCTGTAGATTATGAACTGACTAGGCAGTTATCACAGTATGAAGGTAGGACTCACATGAATTATCTCTAAATTATCTTAACCTCCAGGGAAATATGCCACCGAATGTCAGTAGATAACAATACATGGGTACTTACAGCTGTGAATAGCACATTTAGCTGTTGATTTGTATGGAATGTGTTAATTAAAGCATGTCTGCTGATTTAACCACTTCTATAAAGTGTCTTTGGATGTTTGATGTAAAATTGCTGCACTATTTTAGAGTAAGCTAGTCATATTTTGGGAAATTTATATCTGATTATTTGTTTCCTAAACTAACAGTTTTGCCGTTTTTGCAAAGGAATAAAGAAATATCCTGTTTTGTTGACTTTGGAATTGTATTAAACAAGTTCTAACTCCTAGAAAAATGATGTCCTGTTGTAAGTTTATGACTCCTACTTCTTGAGATGGATATTTATTAATGTTTTTTTTTTTTTTTGCCTCATTTCTGTGATTATTCTCAAATTGGTCAGGCAGACACAACCATGTTTACATGAAGTCTGTCAAATAATGAAAATGATGTTTGTTTCATAACATTTCCTTACAGTAACACATATATTGGATTTTCAGATCGTCTTGAGTATTATGATGAGTATGGAGTAATTCGTGATATCCTGCAAAATCACTTGACTGAACTTCTGTTATTGGTCACAATGGATTTACCAAAGAATGCTACCAATAAAGAAGAAATTGAACAAAACAAAATCAGGGTATTGCAAAAATTCCAGGCCCTGTCACCAGGTGATATTCTTCTTGGACAGTATCAGAATTATGGAAGTGAAATTCAAGAAGGGTTACAGAAATCTGGCTCCACCCACTTGACTCCAACATTTGCTGCTGTTCTCCTACGAATCAACTCAAAAAGATGGCAGGGGGTGCCATTTGTTCTGATGTCTGGTAAGAAGATGGATGAGAGGCACAGCTACATAAGAATTGTTTTCAAAGACAGATCATTTTGTCTCCCCTATCACACCTGTAAAAACAGAAGCGAACTAATTTTCAGTTTGTCTCATGGGCCAGCCAAGATCCCATCCATATTACACACATTAAATCTACCCATTTATCTCCAGGAGGGTATGTTCCATGAGTTTTCTGAAAGTGACATTGCAAACAAAAACTTAACTCAATATAGGGCCTTTTCTTTGATCCAAAATACCAATGCATATGCCAGTGTGATATCTTCTGTATTTCATAGAGATAGAACTGGTTTTATAGGGACAGACCATCTTCTTCAGTCTTGGAACTACTGGGGACAAGGATTGTCAGTCTTAGGAGACAACTTACCAAAACTTTATCCTGGTGGTAAAGGCTCATTCCGCAATCTTAGTTTTCAGTATGATTTCAAGCACATAGATTTCAATGACCAGACATTTTCTAAGTCAAACCAAAGGGTTGATCTAATCCTATCAGATGAAGACATAAATATGGTGTCTCATAACATGGCCCAAATTCCAGACACTTTCTTAGGGAATACTCTGGTGAGTGCTTCAACAGATTCCTTAATACAAAGACTTGTAGAGGATCTGGCAAACTCTGCTTTGGATGCCATACGAAAGAGAGGCATCTTCCACATAGCATTCTCTGGTGGTGCAGGTCCACTTGTCTTATTCTCAAAACTGGCAACAGTGCCTTATTTGTTTCCTTGGAAGCAAATTCATATATGGATGGTGGATGAGAGATGTGTGTCTAGTAATCACACTGAATATAATTTTCACAATTTGGATGAACGCCTGCTTCGTTTTATTGACATTCCAATGAGTAACATTCACCCTATGCCAACTTATCTCTTCACAGATATATGCAACCCTGATGATTTGGGCAGCAAGTTGTATGAAAACCATATGCAAAAACTCATCAGTAATCAAAGGCTGGACTTTATAGTCCTTGGTGTAGGAATGGATGGTCACACTGCATCATTATTCAGAGGCCAAAATTCTTTGAAAGAAAGGACAAGACTGGTTGTCTTAACACCAGGTCGTGAAGGGGACAGTATTAAACAAAGAATGACTCTTACTTTTCCAGCCATCAATAAGGCTAGAGAAATTGCTGTGTTTGTACTTGGTTCTCACAAACACGAAGTACTCAAGGTAATTAGTAATGATGAAACCAACGCTGACAAATGGCCAATAACTGGCGTCAATCCCGATCAGGGTACTATGACCTGGTACATCGATCACGATGCATTATTTGGAAAATCTTTGTCATAATCATTTATCATCTTCTCCCGATATATTCTTGTTCTTATTTGTCTCAGAATCTTAAATGTCTTTTATAACCCAACCTCAAATATAGGTCATCATGATCATCACAAAAATGAATAATTATGATTAATTACTGCTGGACTAAATGACCAACATGTATGCTGTTAAATGACCAACATTGTGATTTTCAACCTCTTGATTAATTATTTTAATAAAAGTCTGGCAATATTTGGCACTATTTGACTGATAACCTTTTTAAATGGCATCAATTTATGGACCAAGGATTACCTGCTTGCAATAATGATACATTTTGCTTTGACACCAACGCAAAGTGCCTACTACAGTACATTATCAGTAAACGTGGACACTCCTTGCTTAAAACACATGTATTGATAATTTGACACAGCGTGTCTATCTTTCCTCTTGAGTTACTGGTCTTAAAGAGATTGATTGTCACACTGCTTCCAATTACCAAAGTTAAGATAGTATGTGTTGAAGGTCGTCCAGAGAACCGTAACAGAATGAACCTTTGTGCAGAGAACAATGAGGCATATAATATGTAAGCCAATGTCGTGCATGCCACCCCCACCCCCCATCCAACTCCAAGGGGTTAGTGACACAAATGATTTTTTCCGTCGCTGACCTAAAGAGTAAATTATAAGTGTTGCTATTGTTTTGAGAAGTGACACCACGCGTATTTAGATGAGGGTGGGTCTATTCTTGCAAGATTTTTCTGCACAACACACACACACACACACACACACACACACACACCAGGGCGTGAAAGTGAACGATCGAATGATTTTTTCGACTGGCGAGGGTTTTGCTTGGTTTGTAAGAATGGAATTGGATTATGCCCTACGAATTGCATAAAAGGTTTTTAGAGCTCTTACTGAACTTACAATATCTATACATTGACGTAGTTACGTCTCTTTTCTGGAAACTTTCAGCCGATGGTCTGCCTACTGAGTGTACAAGTGGAACTATAAACTAACCAGTACACAATTATCCTACGGGTTAATTCCATACAATTATTCATTTTGATTAAGACTATAAGGGAAAAAAACAGCTTGTGACAAGAAAATGTCTTTTTATAATTTTACATGTTAATTTTGTGGGAGTTAAAACCAGTAGAATAACGGATGGGGTTCACTGTTCTTCCAACGTTGCTTTAAATACAGGTACATTTGTCGAAAACGCGATTGAAGCCCGTCTTTATGGAGTATTTCTCTTCTACGCTAGGATAGTGTGCGTTGCCGAGTTCATTGGTTTTGTATAGCAGCTTGATTGCTTATCTAGTGTTAATTTAAAATGGTTTTAATGTCGTTTTCATTTTATATTTGAACTATATTGTGGCGCCATTGGGGCCGAGGGAACTCATTAATTTATCCAGTTGGAAATTTGCATGAAAGTTTCGCGGCTGTTGTATGCAGTCACTGTCACTTGAGGAACATATTATTTAAAAACGCCGAAGCTGCATTATCAGCAATTCGTTGCGCACATTTTCCAAATATCACAGTGGATATCTATTTTACAGATCTAACGCAAAAATTAAGACAACCTAGCATTGCAGCTTTGACACCATTTTAGTCACCGTAGGACTGCAAAGAATGAATTTAGGTTGTTTATTTTATAAAGTTTGCTGAAATAAAAATGTACTTTGTATTATTTTTACTTATTTCTGGCAAGCAAAGAATATTTCCATTTAGCATTATTTTTAAATACATAAATTATACATTAATTTACAGACGGGAGCTGTCCAGTTATTTATCCCCATGCAGGGGCGGATTTAGGCCGTCTTCTGGGTCTTCCAGAAGACGGTCAGATTTTCAAGTTTACATTGACAGGTATCTAATGTTTTCTGTCGGAAGACGGTCAGAAATGTAGGATGGATCAACAAAGATAATTTGGAAGACTGTCAGAAAATATCTCTGGATCCGCCCCTGCCATGTCTGTATGTTCTCAGGAAACTATTGATTAAGAAGTGCCTCGTTACATTAACCATCAAAAATACGTGTTTCTCAGTGTTTATACGTCAGGCACTCCTCTAATATTACCATGTGGGCCAATCTTCTAAAGCAGAGGTGAGGTCTTAGCTTGGGAAAAGTGAACCATTGCAAAGGTCATTTAGAAACTAATTTGCTGTAAACACCATAATGCTTGTACTTCTTGTTTGGGGAGCAACATTTCTAGGAATCATCTGCATGATAATTACCGTTGGTACATTTAGCAACAATTCTGCCAATGATATAAGTAATTATCTGTATTGAGGTCAGAGACAGGCCAACTCTGATTAGCTTAATTCCAGATTATGAATCAAGAAGCACTTTCAAATTGCATTACCTTCGATTAACACGGCGTCTTCGGCCAATTTGATTAAAAGCTAATTAATGCTATTTAATACAGAAACAGTTGCACCAGGCAGACCCACTCGGTCGAAGCCACTTTGTCCTGTCTGATATATTGACTCGTAGCAAGGTTTCCTGGTATAGGCCTATCTTTGAGAGCTTACAGTACACATTGTCTCTAAAACATAATTTGCATTCTCTCTCTCTCTCTCTCTCTCTTCACACACACACACACACACACACACACACACAAAACCATTGCACTGTGTGTGAGTTTACTTTTGTCTTCAACGTGCGAAGACTAATGTTTACCAGGCGTACGAAAGTAATTCCGACAGCATTTTGATACATTGATGGAACAATGGTAAAAGGTAGCATAAAAATCGAGTTTAAAGTGGTTAATTTTAACGTGTAACTACTTTCCTCCAAATTTTGTTTGTCATAAATTCTTTGCCCACGAAATTTCTGTTTGTACTATGATACTGGCTCACTGTATTACTACATGCAATACGGTTTATTTCGTTTTTTTCTTACGCATTTCTCTCTATGTTTCTGTTTTGTTTACTTTTTTATGTTCGAAAAGTTGAATTTCATTATTTTGATTATTCTAAATGATTGACCATTTTTCATTTCACAAATATATTAGAAACTGAAATGACGTTTAGTCACAAAACGAACCAGTTCCTTTACTAATGCCTCGGTTTCTTGGAACCATTGCGTTACAGAAATTTAAAACGTTTTAAATCTCTTTCAAACAGATGGCTATAAATTATTATAGTAGCCCTTCTTTAAGACCACACAATTAATCTATGAATGTGATTTACTATCTACCAAGAGAAAAAGCTGCTGTCTGGAGACAACCTGAGTTTATTTACTCGCCATCAACTAGAGACATACAAAATAACTGGAGAAAGAATAATTAGCATCAGAAAACCTTCGTGACAAAAGTGGTAAGTCCCAGTGTTGCAACGGTTTGGTTATTTGAGAAATAATACATGTTATCTGATAAGCATTGCCCTCTTCATATTGGAACGACCGCCACTTGACATTTGTAATAAGAAGTCCGAAGTATTTCGTGTTTTCAGCGTCTTTCTTCAGTGGTAAGTCATTGTTCTTTCAATCGGAGATCAGGTTCTTTCTGTTTATGTAGTTTCCATACCGATCTATTTTAGTTATGAAACGACTATTATAGAGAAGCCATATGTTATTTTATCTCAACAGGACGTGTTATGTGATGCGTTGCTGAAACGTAGGTCTACGAGTTAATATAACTAAAATCCATGGCATGGTCAACGCTAATAATCGTAAGTGCCCATACAGGGGATTCCACATTATCTGCGTAATGTTGATTGAGTAAATGAATAAATATTTATAAATAAATAGCGACAAGACAATAAATTAATGTTTATCATTAGAGTTACCAGCAGAGTGATGCTGAGCAATTCGGAAATACTTAGAGAAGTGTGTTGAATACTGTTTAGTGTGGTCCAAGGCACGGCGACGTTGTTTCAACTTGTGCATCTACTAGCAAGGTCACCAGATTGTATTCGTATTGTCTAACGCTGACCGTGATAGAACCTCCTGTATGTATCTTACAGGCAAGGAGATGTCGTCGTCAGAGGGTGGCTCTACGCCTGAGCTGCGCTTCCTCCTCTCGGTGGCAGCTGTAAAGCACCGTCGGTATGTTTTGAAACTCTGCAAGCATTCTGATCCTAGGCCGTAAGCCTCGCCGCACCACGTGCAGATTCCCATAGCTTCGTTGTTATACATAGACATATCTCCCCTGAAATGTATGATATTTTTTATACATAGTGATTGTTCTGCCAGTAACGGGGTAAAAAGGGTGAACATGAACAGTTAAAATTCAAATATAGCGTGAAAAGGGTCTGCGAGACGCGTACACTGGGGAATATAACGCTAATCTCACAAAGTGCCTATCCAAATTCTCACCGGATGTTCCTACAATTGTATTTTTCAAATGACAGTAGAAACAGTTTAGAATATCTTTGCCCACAGCCGTTTACACAAAGCACCCCCAAAATGTTATGCCAGCAGTTTAGCTATTTTTATTGGCAAATTTTTATACTGATTTGCTGTATATCCTCAAGTGTTTTGTGAAATGAGCTTATAAAATCAAAAATCAAACGCCCTTTTCAACCCCCATAATGCGTTTAGAAGCGTGTGTTAGAGGTTAATGATTTTTTTACTCACCTTTTGTAGAGATATAGAGATTTTGCATCACAGAGGTGACAAGCAAGTGCCAAAATCACAGCTATTAACCGTACGGCGGACATGTTCATCTGAAATTTGATCGACAGCCTATTAATGCTTTGCATGAATTCATTCCAAGCAGAAATCGTGCTCTTTGTAGAAGAGATAACCAACAGATTAACACATATTAATCCTAATTTGAAAGACTGCAATAAGTTAAATAGCTAACTAAGTTGACTTTGTTGAGGGAAACCGACTTAACACCTTTTCTATCGCTTTCTCTTATCTTGTTCCTTAAATCGTACCCAGACAGAGTAGAGAAAGAATGTCTCATTGATTAATGTAAATGTGAACATACATCGTCATAATTGATGTACCAGTATGCAATTATGATAGTTTATTATACATATATAAAGCGCATTCTTGCTCCCACACTCATTAGATTTCAGTACGATTAAACTTTAAAAGATCAGATCCTATGCATTTTTATAATGTCAATGGCAATATCTGGATAGAGACACTTAATGGGAACCAAAGTTTCCTAACCTGCTTGGATATTACGTTCTTCAAATAAAACGTAGTTGTATATACCAAATAAACATTCAATTATTGAAGATTTGCTGACAGCTTTGTTTATCTCGTTCACAATGATTAGTCGCTGTTTACACACTCGTTTTAGTCGATCCTTCGGATTTTCGAATAAAAGGTTTGTAAGAGAAATAGGAAATCATCAGACTCATAACACTAAACAAACTTATGTATAAAAAAGAGTCTTGTGTTACGTAAATACGAAATCCTTTTCATCACGGGTGATGTAACGAAAGTAGTATATTGTTCTGCGATGTTTTCTATATACCTTGTTAGCGTTTGGGCTTTCCTTTGTTAAAACCACTTCTTCATAAATGCCATTTATCTCTTGTTGCAGTTTAATTAGTGAATTTCATGTTTGAATTTTAGCATATAGGCATTGGATATGATCATTGAATTCCATAGTGTGTATTGTGCTTTAATGAAATGGAAAACAAAATTTCACCCACAAAAGAACTGCTCATCCTAGAAAGACGGTGCTAGTATAAAACTTTTCACTTGAAAAACAGTGTTAGAGTTAAAAACAGTAGGCCTAATTCAATATTATAATCACGATCAAACCAAACCAGGTGATTTACGAACCGAATCGCCATTCAAATGCCCACAGCTGAAAAATTTAAGTAAAAACAAACATAACACACTCAACGAGGTAAATTGCAAAAATAATACAGTAGTGACAATTTTCACTTTCTAGATATTCTATCGGTTGGTTGCGTGATTCCGCAGAACATATTTGTCGATTCAACAAGTTGTTTTGGTTTGTAAAAGTAATACGTTTACCTCCTCTGATTTATGATCAACAGTCTACATTCCACTTCTTAAAGTAAATTGTTTTTCATGTTATGTGAGCCTTCAGACGCAGTGGTTCGTACATTTCACATTTGTTCAAGTTCTGTAGATATCGTTTTCAACACGCAAAACAAACGAAATATTCCAGAACCAGTTAAATGTGTCAATGTGTCTCTTGATTTCAGAAAAAAAATCTTTCAACATTCACTGTCATTAATTGTTTAAGACCTGGTCCCCAAAGTCAAATATAATTTACAAATGTTTTAACATGATCTTTTTTAGTGTCATACATATGCATATCACTCACCTTGTAATCCATAGAGATATATTCAGCGGACGAACTCGTTGTGTATAACGGAATTCTCAAACGACGATATCCAGATCTTGACTTTTGGTAACAGTGACATCCATTCCAAAAGCTTCCCTTTATATAGAACTTGGTTGTGTCATGACATGTGGTTTTAACCCTAGTACACTCATACTCGACAGGGAGTAAATAATGTGCGTGTCCATGTTGATGTTAATTAGAACAAATGGGCGGTTCGCTGGGCTGGGCTCGGAGGGAGTGCGGTTGTAGCAGAACTTACTTGGGCACTTAATCACCCACCAACCAAGCCGCGTGCACTGACAAATGACTGTTTGATGGCTCAACGTCATTCACAACATACAGATACACGGCGGATTGCAAAATAAATTACTGTACCGATACTATAGCTAAATTACTGTCCGCAGTTCCACATTTAGAGCTCGTAAGCGACTTAAGCGACTGCTTAAGTGTTATTACAAAGACAGATATAATAGCCATTATGCTCGTGTCATTTGGTTTTTTTTTCTTCACTTAATTTCTTCTATCTTTTCAGATAACTAGTTCTATCTTATTAAGTACAATAATAAAAGGTGCACCATAATAGTGATGGTTCTGACGAAATCCGTTTTCCTCTTTCCGGTTGTCAGTTGTGATTTGATCCATATCGGTTAATTTATGCATGCAGCCTTTGGTTACTCATGCAGAATTCGTTATAAAACAACAACAGATGTGCTTTGAAGTTCTCTGAAATACCTCAATTATTAGATAATCTTATGACGTTTTGGTCTAGAGTTCCACCCTTCTTATATTAAAAAGAAGCGATAAGGAAGTAACGAAGGGGAAAAGTTTTTTAAAAAGTCGAATATATTTGCTCAGCAACGTAATGGCATTATTAAGCTCCGTAAAAAACAACAAAAATTGGTGATCGGAATTCTTAACAGCGTGAATTATACGTTAAAAATCCTAAACTTTCTAAGAGGCTCAGAAAAAATGTGTAAATCTTCTTTTTCTTGTTATTTTTCAACCATAAAAGTTTAATAGGTTCGTAGGAAACAGGTAATGACGTTAATATTGTGTCTCCATTGCATTCCCTTTAGCAATTAAAACAGTACTTAAGAAACGGAACTATTCAAAATTTCTGAAACACCTAAAACACTTGACCATGGGGCATATGCAACAGTAATGTGGTATTTATATCGGGTATACATGCCCGGATAACACGATAAGCTTCCACCTGTAAATCGGACATAAACTGAACAATTTTGTGTGAATTCTCATGAAGGACGTCTCAATACCTCGCTCCCGTACCAGATGTGGGCTTGTATACGCGCAGTGCTACTCGATGTTTTTCCAATATGATCTCTTGTCAGAACTTACGAGTCGTTAACCATGTTCGCATGCAAGTTGGAGTTTCTTGTCTTTCATTTTTCTTTGTCTATCTGGACTGTATTTTCCAAGAATTCCCGTATCTTTCGAAATTACCCTCATCAAAATTATATTGCCTTTTATTTCTCGGTCATTTCTATGTGCAGGGCCAGATTTAAGATAATGCATATCAATTGAAGACAGTCATGGTCTATAAATTTATATTACAGACATGTAGCGACTGACGCGGCAACATTTTTTAAGAACAGGCAACAGAGGGCATGGTTAAAATTATGCTAAGGTTGCCTACAGTCTTTCTAAGAATAAATATTTCTCTCCACCTGTGAGTATTTGAACGCTTTGCCAATTCTTTTCTTCATTTATTCCGCCCACTGGGCTTATTCGAAAGTATACCGTAGTAGCGTGGGTCCAAGTTTTTAACTCTTAATCGCAGTCTTTATTCACACTAAAACTCAACTTGACATTAATTTTGGCTTTAATTAATGGTGAGATCCATATAGTTTATTTGTAGCATAATGATAAACTATGTCATAATGATTTCATAAATCTACTTTACATGTACACGCAACACACACGTTAATGTTGAAGATTTTCAAATTTGAGATTTTTTGGTCCAAGGCGCATAAAACACATTACCGGATAAATACTGTACGTTGATATTGCTATTTCATTAAGACTTGCGTGTGTTTATATGCACACAGTTATCAGGTATATTGACATATAATGCTTCATTGCACCAGACCTTTGCACTTATGTTACAAATAATTTGCAGTTTTTAAACCTTCGAACTGTTTATTGATATAAGATAAAGTAATGGTGGTGACGTATTTGAAAGAGAAGCCAGCACGAACGCAACTTTTTACCGCTTCGTGAACAAAATGGAAAGATGATTCAACGTGCATAGCCGCTAATACTAACGGCATTGTACCTGCAATTTTGCACACAGTCACGCAACAGCAGAGAAACGAGTAGGTGCATTTAACTGATTTTAACATATTTTTTATATTCATGACGGGTCTTCTGGTAATCTGTTCTAATGGCAGTCGCGATTATGGCATCTTTCGAGCTTTATGAATCCGTTGTTCAAGATCTGGCACATTAATTGGAACTATATTTCACAACGCAGACAGGTGTTGCGGTTACCTCTGTTCTTGGAACCTTGCCCCATTGTACTTGTTCAATTGCAACGAGTATAAATCTGTAGAAATTAGATGTTTCTGCTCGGAGAAAATTATATCCATTCGTTATGTTTAACAAACCTTTAAATTATACCAAACAGTTTATTGTTTTAAGCACAGTCATTTTAGTGGAATTGGAATTGGGTCACTCAGAGCACAGCCTGGATTTGAACCCGATTTGCGAGTCACCAATTTCTTTGAAACACGCGAACCATTGGTTTCTTAGACTATCGCTTTGAATATGGGGCTTCCTGACTGACAAAAATACATGGGCCCGTTTTTTATAATTTCCTTACTAAACTGGGATTAAAGAAAAGAGGTCGTCGTACTTATAATTTCACTAGAAGTTGTATTTACAGATGAATACCTTGTAGTGGGAATTTTGCGATAAAAAGAGACACCCACCCAGTTCTGTGAAAAAGAGCAGATCGAAAAAAGGTTTTTGGCCTTGCTTTATGTGCAGGAACTGTTGGTCCATATAGCATCATCATCGTTTTTCACATAATCTAAAAGAACGAAATCTATCCCTTTTTTCTATTCAAAGAATCTGGGAGAGTAAGGTTTTGCGAAGAGGCTAGAGACAGTTTTTTAACCAGAAATCCCGGGTCTACGATTTCCAAGCATTTTATACAGCGTAAGCACAATATATAAGCTAAAACATTGTGCCTCATAACAAGGAAAGAAACATCAATTACGCGGAAATTATGAATAGCGGTCAGACCTTAGGTGTCCATTACTCCGTTACTCCGATCTCATGTAACATATGTGAATGTAAAAATGAGTAGTCAGGTGTGCCGCTACCAATTAACTGACTACCATGTCTGTGACACTGCTGCATTGTGTAATATGCATTGATTTAATTGGGTAGTACTCCTTTGGGCTGGTCAAAGCTTGGCTTGGCGAAGCATGGTTCTGTCAAAAAACTATCCATATGTCGGCAACTACTGCATAGAAGATTATGAAATTTTGCATGCAAGTGGTCGGTGTTGCAGTGCGTAAAATAGCTAAGCAGTGTTTTACAAAATTGTTAATCCGTGGCAGAATGGCGCGAAAGAAAGACATTGCCAGGCAGATTATTGTCTGTCACGGAACAGTTTTATAGAGTTATTCCCAGACTGATGTACCTCCACACGACCACACCCAATGTATCAAAACCTTACCACCAGGGTACAGGACTCGCTATCCTTCCTAATGTGCTGCTGCAACTAAAAAAAGACCACACAGTCCGTTCAGAATAAGGGGCAAATTGCCACCAGTTTTTAAGGCCCTTAGCGAACACCAAATTGATTTTAGCAGGTTGGAATACCAGATGACCTCTGAGGAAGCCACTGTAAACAGCAAAATATCGTTGTCTGTTTTTCTAATGAATTGGGGACCATGACCGTTTCTCTGTAGATGCGATTAATGAACTGATGTCACAATGACATCAAAGAGGTTATCAGAAGTTATTAAAGCAATATTTTTATCCTTTTTTTAATTTATCAGTCAACAAAAAAGAAAAAATGATTAAAAATGATTTGGAAAAAATATTCCACACTAATTGTCAAGTCTGTATAAATATATAGTTTAATTGAAATCATACTACAAGTATCGTGAACCAGACTCATTCGTTGCATGATTCTCCCTTCCAGTGCATTCAAACATACCTGGAAACTTGCTGTTTATGATAATTTAAAAGATGTTATTATATTTAGACTAAGAGAAAATGTTAGGTGTTAAAAATTTCCCTCTTGTATATCTTATTCTCTCTGAGGTTCTCCGCCTTTGTGTATATCACATGCACCTGGCTAACTGGAGGTGTATCTATTGCGACTTTACGTAGTTCACTGTGCGTGACGTGCATGTATGCCAAACTCATCACGTCTGGATCTTTTATTCTCGACTTCCGCCGAGGCGTGACTTGGTGTGTGTGTGTGTGTGTGTGTGTGTGTGTGTGTTTTGTTCTGAATGGCTATCCCTCGCTTAGTAGTTGCTATCCACCGCCTGATAAATAGGCCTACAACACAGCTGTTTTGGCCTCAGGTAGGTAATTAATGAGGTAAAGCGATCCAGCAGAAATAAATTAGTTTTGTGTGGTAGGTGCGAAATTATTGTGAAAATCCCCAAATGGTAAGAGTATATTTCATAAATATTTAAATTTGGTCTGATCACATATTCTAGATTTTCTTGGTCAAATCTGAGAAAGAAGGTTCAAATGCGTGTGCCCTTTTTCGTCACATTTACTTGTAGGGCAGCTTCTTGACCGAAAACGCTGACCTGTTCAGTGTTCAAGCAATTTGCCGCCACAGTGTAGTAGCATTTCAGTTAATTAGTTTTAACATTTCTAACATCTTACACCATCACCAGACAAATGAGTTGTCTTCATGTTAAAACGATAAAATTCATTTTAAGCCCCGGTAAATCTAACCCTTCCTTGGGGAGAGTTCTCAAATCACGCCATTTCACGAGTTGCTTGCTATCTAGTCACCCGTAACATTTAATTGTGTTATTTGTGATATTTTGTGTAGAGGTTAATTTCACCACAAAAGTTAATATCGATAAGCTGTTTATCAAGTTGTGCACTGAAAACGGTCTTCACAGAAAATCCCCGTGTAGTAAAATTTTTGCAATTTACAGACATGTTGAGATTTTTGCACAATTGATATTTCGGTGGCTGTGTTCAGTGCAGGTTGACAGCAATATGAACTGAAGTAAAATTCACAGCTAAGTAGTTTTCGTGGCAAAAGTTAACCGATCTCTAGCATAGTAATTAATTGCATTTATAAATTTAAATTTTCTTCCAATAAATTTGACTTGGTTGGTTTTAACTTAAAGGTACGTCTTTTTTATACAAAACTGCTATTGCAGCATCTTCATTATTCCAAAACTTTTTGTCTTAACTGGGGTTTAATTTGGTTTAATGTTACTCTGATTTCTCTTGACTGGTTTTAAAATTAAATTACGTCCATTACCAAAGGCTTGATAGGTGACTTAGTTAGTATGCAGAAATTCTCCCTGTACAAAACCAGAAATGTTCTCAGCTGGTCAAATGCCAGAAAAGTATCTGTGAATATCTTATGAAAAAATATCTCTGATTCCTTGGTAGAGGGCAAGGTGAGATTTTAGTAAAACCAACAACTACCTTAAATAAGAGGTCTTTGAAAAAATATTTTTAAAAAATAAAGCAAATTTAATTTTTATTCCATTTTTTCGTTGACATGAAAAGTAAAGACAAGCAGTGAGTGTGTTATACGAGCGAATCCAAAAATTTGTATACATTGTCTTAAAAGAAACCTATTACTTTATTACTAATTGTTACATACTATTATTAAAAACTATTATTGAAGTCAATTTTAATACTCATTATAATTGCGTGTTCCCCGTCATCAATATGATTGCTGTTTGTTTTAGATATAAACAGGGAATTGACAGACAGGGAACTTAATACCCGTGTCCTTAAATAGAACAAAATGTTTGTTTACTCAACAACCGCAACAGTGGCATTAAAAAATAACAGGTACCGTTAAACTGACAAATATAAAGGAAAATCAGGTAAATAATATTTTAACCGCCTATTTGCGGTAGTCTCTCTTCTTCGAGACAACCACCTAATTATGTCACATGTGTTTCTAACGTTTCTGTTGTGTAGCATTCAATTTTCCGTTAATGCTTTGTGAAAAAGGTTCGTACTGAAGCTCCTCTAACACATTCTCACAAATATTTTCAATTTGTAAAGCTACAGATGGTGATATTTTAGATTTCCAAGCATGAGCAGTTTCGGTAGAGTTATTTCTCGCTGTAAAATATTCGTTATTTGATCCTTGGTCTTGGTTTGTATTTTTCCACATCCACGCGCGGACAACGTGTGGCAGAGGCAAGCCAAGGAATTGGTAGATAAGTGCAGTCGTCTCCAAAACACGCTCGGCCATTGTTTCATATTTTATTTGCAAGATTCGTCCTTGAAACTCCTTCGCAAGTTGCTTTCCTTTCAAAATATCTTTTGTCATTTCGTAGCACAATACGTTAGCTTGCATGTCTAAGCTCAGATTTGTTTTAGTAAGCTTCTTTCGTGACAAAAGGGAAGCGCGGGGATCTCTTAGTAGGTGGAGAACTTTCAACCCCGGTATCTTGCGCAGCAGGAGTTCCACGTGAGACATTCGTAAAGCGATTTCTTTAATGGCTACAATTGATGAATTTCGGCATGTTTCAAGAATAAATGGAACACATTCAGTATCTGCTGCCACGCCCTGGTGTGACAAAATACAGGTCGTGTACTTAACAAGTCTCCTATGTCTACCCCCATAAGTGAAGAACAAATGGTTTGCATAGGTGTGTGGAGCAAGCACATTCACCGGCACGTGATCCAGCTTGCAAGTGAGAATGTTTTCCAGCGTCTCCAGCACGATGTCCTTTTCTTCTCCTTTCTTTGGAAACAACCTTGAAATTAGAATTAGACCACGGGTGTTTAAATAGAAAAATATCGAAATATGCCATGTCATGTAATCACCAACTTTTCCAAAACTCTGTTAACATTGGTAGTATTATGCATTATAAATAAATCAACTACGCCACTGGTTAAGTAGGAATAACCCACGACTTTAAAAGTTCCCCAGTACAATAGTGTAAATGAAACGCAAACAAACCGTCTAGTTCCGTTTGGATATGTTAATTCCGTTGTTTTGGAATTGGAGCCATAGTCTATTTCATTTGAAACCAATGCCCAAGTTGGCTCAAACATGTAAAATGCGTCCGGATGCTGATTGAAAAGTTCCCCGAGGAGCGAAGACCCACTCCGCATGTAGGACAGGATAAGGATTGCGGTAGTTGAAATTTTTTGTTCAACTACTGAAAGTAATATTTACAAAACTCTAAAACAATCGACAATCTAGAGATGCACTAATCAAATCACAGAGATCCTAGAATACAATGTTACACCTAGCCCTTACTAATAAACATTCGTCAGACCTGAATGATAGTCTTTTTACAAAATATGCGATGAAGCTAGTGACGAGTACCGATTTAAAAAACAAGTTTGATATTATCTTAATGTTTTGATATGAAATGGAAACAATTAACCAGCACAAGTATACATCAATGAACAAACGCGCGCGCACACACACACACACACGCACACACACGCACATATACACACACATAGTTGGCTAGTCTCACACAACCTCTTTAAAACCTCTTTACCCTTTTCTCCCTGGAGCCTTGGCTGAGGTTTATTCGACCGACAGCTAGCCTTAAATATCACTCAATGGCTACCTTTTTGTAGCAGCGTATACGTGGAGTGTCATATACAGTTTATATCTATTCGATATAATTCGCTGCTGGGTATGACCCTCATTCCCAGAAGGGTTATGGATCGGAATAATGAGAATATAGCTGATCATAGTCAGATCTTTCGTATTCAGTCTGCTGCAGAATGCCAGCATATTCAGAGTTTAATCAGAATAAAACATTTTTCTTTTCGACATTTCTTGCCTTTCCTTTTTTCAGAATTTGGTAATGGGAAACAAATTACAAATAAAAAACTCGTAATTGATTAAGTTTATCGAACAATTTTACGCCATACAAAAGAACACTGTTTCTTGGTGTGGACGTGGCTATAGTCATCAAGACAAACATGCATCATGTGCATGCTTTAACATTTTTGTCAACATTTACATTTCATGCTTAATTGAATAAATCAGCTACTCATTAATATTTTTTCATAAAGAATGCGTCGAAAGGTTCGAAATAACAAATAATATAAAAGGCTGACTTTATGGTAAGTTTAAGCAGGTAAAATTGGGCTTTGAGGGAGAAACGGATTAAGTTCACATCACTACATGGCCTAGTTAAACAAACCCCACTTGGGGCAACGAGTTGGCAGAACACAGAAGTCTCTGTCTGGCCGTCTGCCTGTCCGTCTGTCCACTCATACCGATAGTACGTTTCATGTTTGATTTCCTATTAAATTAACTTGTTCCCATAACTTACCGAAATCTCTGGCGCAGTTAGATGCAAAACAAGTCCGCCCCAATCTACAACACTGATACACCATAAGCAGGATAAAGACGGAGATATTCAATAATGCAAAACGCTTATACGTTATCCTATCGATGAACATTGTAGAGATTTGGCGCGTCTGGTTACACGGATAATTTTTATATGTGACCGCAGTGAAACACTGGGTACGTTAGCATACAGCTTCTTGACACCTCTTTTTGTGCCACTACATAATATATCAATTGATCTCTATCTGGCTATCTGGCCTCTGTGCAAGAAAAATCCTTGTCTTTTACTCCTTATTGAACCTGACGTCTTCCAGTGGCTAAAATATATGGCGGATATGTTGAGTTCTCTCCTCTGTTAAGTGCAGCTGCAGTTTTATAATACAATTCGTACTCATGGTATAGGTCTTTGCTTGTTAACACCGAAATGGTGCATATGCGCGACACGTCGCCCTCCGGGAAATACGGATAGTTGCGCCCCCGAGGCAGTGTTTCCACCTGAACACGAATTGACACATCATTTTATTACTATTAAAATGGTATTGGGACATTCTACATTAAAAACCGCGTGGAACATCTTTTGTTACTGAATACCTAGGTCATATTTTTAAGGCCTTACGACGTGAAATTAATTTCATTGTAGGGCCTGTGGTATGGTATTGAGGGGATGCACAGGATGTACTGCGTTCCTTTTTAAATATCATAGTTGAGTGTAATTTCCTTTGTTATCAACAATAACCTTTTGACATTTTTAACGTTTTAAAATTACGAAACCTGCCTTTGTGTTAAAATATTTCTTTCTTTTTTTTTTGACCTACTATCATAAAAACTTTCAGAGGTTTTCATACATTGGCTCTTACTTTTCTCTTGAAAATATTATAAAGCGCCGTCACACGTGTAAAACATGCCCCGTTTGACATGCAGAGACGGTTGCACTTAATATGTACAAACTGCGACCAGCCGTTTAGTTGATATAACACGTACTGTCAAGGTACTTGATATGCTATGTCAATAACCGAACGGTATGAATAAGCAAGAAGCTGATTTCTGTTTCAAACCAGTAAAATGGTAAATCTGACAATTCACCCATTGCACCAACTCCAGTTATTTTATAAGCCTGAAAAGGCTGTTTTGTTTATACACAACATTAATACATAAAGCAAGACTCACCTGTAAGGTGAATGCTAGACATATTGAATTACTATTTTAAAAGTCATCACTAGCCATTGCGGCAAACACAATTACTTGAAAAGCAGTAAAATGGTCATGCAAAAACACGCTTCCACTCTAATAAAAAGGCACTTCAGGACAGAACACGCACAGCACATTTCCCAGTGACGATGATTTAATCATTACCACCCACTGTTACGGATGAGTAGGCCAAAATAGATAAATAGAATAATATAGTAGGTCGGCAGACAGATGGATAAGCAAATAAATAAATACATTGTTGAATAAATGAGGAGATAGTTGTATTGATCAATTGATTCTTAGATACTGATAGATTTTAAAAAATGACGAATATGTAGAACCTTAGAATTGATAAAAATGAACGGAAGAAACAACCATACCAAAATAAAATGGAGTGACTGCTATGGCTCTTTGGTTTGGTTCTAATGACTTTTCTGTTGTTTATGGTATGGGCAATTAACTTTCTACCGTGATTTCGATAGCATAGCTGGAAGTTTTTAAGGTAACCTGAAAATAAACTTACATGATTTTAATATTCGTCTGCACACGTAACTTTGAACATGTAGGGTTTTTTTCGCTTTCTAGGTACCAAACCACAGACCTCAAATATATACACTGCCTTCGGGAAATATCGATTGCGTTCTCAATAATAATAAAGAAAATAATAAAACATTAGGTCAACAGAGGGTTCGAGAGTATATCTAAATCGACCGCTGATTCTAGTCCTCGTATCGATACGCTGCAGCGTTGAAGGCGTTAGGCAAAGTCAACCAGGTTGTTCAAGGTGAAACTGTCTAGATAATAGTGGAACACGAACCGCTTTTCTCGGCACAGCCCAGATTTTGCAGCCCTGCAGGTAAGTTACGTTAAGAATGGGCATTTAGTTACGCATGAGGACATGATATGATATGGGCGTATGGTTCAAGTATGCTAAAGAAATGATACGTTAGATTTTAATGATTTTTCCTTTTTTGTTTGGCTGACTTAAGTGTTTATGGACAGACAGAGTGAATACCTGCTCTTCCATACACTGCATAATATATAGACGCTCTCTAGTTCATGAGCATTTAAGTTACAATCACATAATAAATGCCCTCATGTACTGAGGCTTATGAAATGAAGTGTTCAGCAATCGTATAATAACCCCTTCGTTCTTTGCTCCATCATGTAATAACAGTCTTCCCAGTCGCTGTTATCGTTTTTCATAGTGTGAAATTGTTGCCAACGGTTCGGGTTTAATTCATGTAGGTCGGATAAAATTTTCGTTTTTGCTTGTGGTTCTCTTTTAGTTATTTAGGCCGTATACAACTACAGGGATTCTCGATATATTTTTTCAACCCATGTATTAACGTGCTAATTCCAGTTTACGGTATATTGGCGGATTATTTATCAACATATATATGTGCAAGTGGCTTACAACTTTTGGCATATTAAAACAATCCAATACATAGAGAGAGAAGTGAAGGGGGGGGGAGAGAAAGTGAGAGAGAGGAAACTTTATTATCTATAGTATAGATTTCGACTACCTTATGTATTTTTTCCAAGAGATGTTAGATTCTTGAGCCAGGTTCACGTTTACATTTTATTATCAAAAGATGTTCGAGGAAATGCATATGGTCGTGTTAGCCATGTTTAAATAAGGAGCATGTTGAGTGGCTGTAAGGGCAGTGTATTGATTTGTTCAAGTGGTGTGAAGAATTTTGAGGGGGTCAAAATGACACATGATAATCGTCTAGCGTCAGTTCTTTCCGTGATAGCTTTAATTAGTTTAAGTTAGGAGCACAGTTTAACCATATCACCGTATCTCTCGGCAACTAATGTGAGGTTATTTTATGGCCATATTTCTAGGTAAATCATTTTCATGTTTGTACAGTGTGGCTCAAAAGTTAACCATAATAAAAGCGGGGAACTGAGAGGGTGAACATTTCTGCCAGGAAAAGTTATAAAAAGAAAGAATCAAAGATTTATTGCAGAAATAACGATATATTGGTTATCCTTATTTTAATGAATTAGGTTTGCTCGATCCCCTTGACGACAGTTTCTTGGCATTGACTGCTTAAGCAGATCAGTGGCGATTGACGACAGTACAAGCCATTATGCCAACAGTTTACCTGCAAATATAAAGGGGAATTAAAATTCATAAACCAGAAAGTTACTCAATACACCCATGAAAATTCTTTTTTGCTTCATCTGAGAGACAGACAAACGGTCATCCTGACAGACAAACAGCCATTCTTATCATAATTGTGAAGGAAAATAAAATGACATCTACATTTACAGGGAGTGAAAATCCAAAGAAACAGTCACGTTATTTAATATATTTCAATTGAAATATCAATACCTAAACCTTCCATGTAGTCATTTCAGTCATGATGTATCTATTTTCACCGCTGTACCATTTATTTCCATCGCAATACCTCTATATCCATCTTGGTAACTATCGCAATTGATATTAATGGCATCGTGGCTGTAGAAAATGCGTTGCGCATAAGATGGGATGGCATTGCGATTAAAATGAGGGTGTTGGGATTGAAATAAGGGGGCGTCGCGATTGTTACCAAATATGCCGGCTTTGACATGGCATAATAAGCCTTAGGCCCGTATTCCAACATGTTCCTTAAAATAGGCCTAAAGTCAACTTTTATAAAGGCTTCCTTTGATGAGGTGTTCCTTGGTAAAGGAAGGCCTAACGAAATGGTATTCTAAGACCACACTTTAGCCTCTCCTTTGATAAGGAATTACTTTGACAAAAGTCAGCCTTTGGGTAAGGGACACTGACATAAAGGAGCTCCTCATTGGTTAAAGTAGGTCTTTGTGACACCCTCCTCATTAAAAACGCCTCAGTAATGTTGTATAATTGGGGTCAACTGATCAACTTCAGTCATGCAACAGTGCATATGGACATTATTACTGCATGTGGATGTTTTAATCTAAGCCAATTTAGTGAATAAAGCAAGTATGCCAAAAAGAGAAAAGAATGGTTTGGAGGATGAGAAAACCAAAGTCATAGACCCTTTTCTGATATCGAAAAGCAGCTACTGATTCAACTAGTCAACAGAGAAAAGCCTATCCTCGATCAAATGTATTACTTCCACCAAGGAGGTTATTTTCACCCCTGTTTGTTTGTCTGTCTGTCTGTCTGTTTGTTTGTTTGTCATCAACATAACTCAACTTAGAACACTTAGAAGTGGTTAGTTTTTGGTGGTGATCCGGATCAATAATCAATCAATAATCGAAAATCAAAAAAACAATCATTATAGAATGAAAATTGGGTGGAGACTTTGCTGCCTTGGCGGAGGTCTCCACTCTCGGAGTGCTTTTCTAGTTGAATTTAATGATTTTGAATTTAGGTAGGCATGTTTGTTTACATAGTCCTCTATGGAGCTGATTTTCACAAGAGAACTGTACACGTATAGTAAGGCTGCTTAAGGAAGACTAAAAGTTACTCCAAACCAACATTACATTTTAAGGAATCCTCAGCCGAAAATAAAGCAAATCTTTAAGCAAAGGCAGATTCTAGAAATGACCGATTCCTTTGGTAAGGATGATTGTTAAGTGATTCCTTTCAAGTGAGATAAAAAAAGATCTTGGAATACAAATTTCGTATAAGGTCGACTTTAAATCTCACTTAACGCTAAAGGGAGATTCTGGAATACGGGCCTTAGTTTTTGGAAGGATTTAAACGTATGTTATTACAGGCTAAGATAAAACGCCAATTTGCGTGATTCCATACGCAGTATGTCATGTGGTCAATTGACTGTTTTCCATTGCTAATTTTCATTTCATTCCGACGATTTTGAAATGATAAACCTGTCAGGTTTCAAAAATGTTAATTACACACCCAAGGTCCCGTGTATTTTAAAACAATATGGAAATTAAATGTGCTGAAGCAGTATTCATTCACACCTCTCCTACTGAAAATCTATTCAATTTTTGTTCAGAATTTTACTAACCCCTACGAATGGTAATGTTGTCAACAAAATACTGAAATGTACCGCGATAAGTGTCTGAAATGATTCCGCTGCCTATTCGTGTTTGGTTTCCGATTCCGCTCTCTATCTTTTTTAATAAGCAAAACTCATTTGATTATGGATATTTACCGATCTTGGTTAACCTTCCTCGAGGTCTTCGCCTACGAAATGCATGGAATACTTACATCATGTCTGTCGTATTATTTATCAAACTGATAATTCAACATATGTTACTTTTACAATTATTTTCATACCTTGTGAAGGAACACGCAAATTATACATTTCCTCGATTCCTAAGAGAAACGGAAATGGAAAGGGCGAAAAATGAGAGAAGACGTTTTATGGTTTCTCTTAATAAGAAATATTTACATAGGTACCGTTCCCAACTAAATGGGGAAAAGTGCTCTTAAATTGCATATCTGTGAAACCAAAGCAATATGCTATCGATTGCATTCTGTTTGGTAATGAATACAAGTCACAATCACCATTAGGTTTCAGATAATTAGCGTATAAATTGATCCCTACGTCTCTGCGTTCAAAAAGTTGTTATTTTTTCTACAAAACACTTTTCTCATGTTTATTATATGTTTTCTCAAAGTTGTTCTCGCAACGCCTTACAAATAAGGTCATTTTACTTCAGGTTGTTGTTTCCAAGCCAACACGGATATTATAGGTGGATCCTAAAGCCTAAAGATCCTAAAGAGTCGTTGGTTGAATTAAACAAGTCAACGAATTACATCTGGCACATTTTTGTCCATTTAAAGTCACAAATGACAGACGTAGAGAAATCCAACCGGCCTGAGTTCTACGTGCCAACACAATTTTGCCAAGATGACCAAACAGCGCAAGATTGGCAAGATGAAGTTTTTGATAATACTCAAATGGCCTCAGCCAACCAAGGTCAAATAGAAGGTAAAAACCAAGGTGAGCAGCGCGATACGTCACCAAGTGCAGGAAACGAATGGTCATATGCTATGGAGAGAGAGAACACAGCGCCACTATCAAGGGTTCACCGCGAAAGCAGTCACCTGTCGGATCTGTCCAGCGAAAGTTCAGAAATTACGTACAAATGTACCTTTAACCACCATTCTAGAGAGAGAATGTCGTCGTGGGATGACAAGAGTTACTCGGTGCCACGTTGTAAGTCTACTGGACATTTGAGAATGCAGAAGAAGCAATTAGCCCAACGCGGCATCTCGGCGCCGAGTCCCCTCCATGAAGCACCGGGAGGTTGTGTGTCGCCAACGGATGAGGAACCAAGTACGCGGAGGACTTTGCCTTTTGCTAATGTATACGAGTTTTTCGTGTCGTCAGACTTTTGTGATGATGACCTCAGATATTTCAAAACTCACGGGTTTCTGAAACTTTGGAATGCGATGCCTCAATTCATCAATTTGCGGCGACTGTCCCTATCACACCTGGACCTTTTGGCCTTACCTGAAGACGTCCATTGGCCGGAAAGACTTTCCCATTTTTACCTGTCTGGAAACAGGCTCTCCGTTTTGCCATCGAGTATGGAACATTTGCAGTCGTTGGAGTTCATACACCTTGGTGGAAACCGATTTTGCAGCATCCCCCCTGTGCTGAGGCGGCTTAAGATGCTGACGGGTCTGGACTTAACCAACAATTGTCTTATAGGCGAAGGTCTGGTATCGGGTAGGTAAACGCTTTTTATTTCTTCTGAATAGATATGAAATGTCAATAGGGACATAACAAAAAATAATAATTAATAAAAATAAAAATGCAAAACGCTTGTAGATGCAAATAGCGGATTGCTCTTGCAGGGGTTCGATACGCCAGAACTTTTTTCCTTATCCGTTTACATAATGCGGCAATCAACATTGACAACTTCTGAAAAGTGCTACTGGGGTGAATTTGCTTATTCAGACTGATGGGGTCTTTTTTCTTTTTGGGTGAAAACTGTAGTATCATAATCTCTCTCACTTGGACAGCTAACAACACCGTATTAATCACATTAATTAGTCCTATAATCCGGTGCAAGGATTGCCAGGATTTTTCTTGAACGGCTTATCTTTTATCAGTAAAGATGCGAAATAATTCCTTTGATTAAAGCCTTTGTTTGTTTGAAACTCAAATTATTGGCTCATATCTCGTAAACAAACAAACGATAAATAAATAAAAGAAATACCCTGGCGCCTGATTGTAATGCACCCTAGTCGCGGCCATGTCTCTGTAAAGTTGGAAATCGATCACTATCTGACACCGATTTACGATAGCGATATTGACTGTAAAGCTTGGCCACTGAATGTATAAAAGCGCGAGAAGTGGTGAATAAACCGATAATGATGAAAGTTTGTGCTCTAAGTGTCTATTTTTTAAACTAATATCGAGTTACATATAAGTATTTTAGATAAAAACAAAGGGGAGTATTTTGACAAATATGGGCCTTTACAACGCATCGAACCCCCTTAATGTACCCACTGTTGTCTGAAACCTGTTGCATTAGCCCACCGAACTGCGCACATGTATGTGTTTTCAATAACATTAAACGTTTTAAAACATATGGCACTGTTTACCATGAAATCTTAAAATATTCCACTGTAAACAGTACGTGACATATGTTTTAAAACGTGAAGATTTTCGTGCGTGTACATTACTCTGACCACAGGGTGAGCCAGTAGTATGTTACAAAAGCATTGTGCGACAGCTCATGCTTAATTTTTGTATACTAGTTTAGAAGGCCCTGATATGTGAGGGTAAAGTTACGTAGCTGAACCGCCGTTTTATGATATACCTCAGTAGAAAATTATTTTATCAAATATCACGTTGATGGGAAGAGAGCACCTGACACTACAGGGAATATCTTATATATGTCAGAAGTATGGGGTCCAAAGTATTTTTTATTTATTTATTTATTTTATTTTTTTTTTGTTCTTGGAGTTAATCGACTCTTAGTCAAATAATAGAAGAGGACATTTCGTTGATAATCTATCCTTCAACAGGAAACTGCAAAACCAAACAAAACCAAGACAATAACATCCTGATATGGTTTGTCATGCCTAAAACAGGAAATTCATCTAGTCAAATTTCCTGTCGCGTCTTAAAAATAATATATATGATTTTTTTATCCTCTCAACACACGCAATTGTTTATTAATTGAATGGAAATAATGCATAATTCCTTGTCAACAAAAAAGGGGATTCTGCACTCAACATGCCCAAGGGTTAGAGAAAAGGATTGTCCGAATAATTTCATTTCATAATCTTTCATTTTATCATTTCAAACTTAATAGAAATAATACCTTTGGTTTGGGATAAGAGCAGTTCAGAATATTTTTAAATAGCTACTAAGGTATAGAAAAGCATCCAACAGGTTTTTTGTACATAATTTTAAATAGGTGATTGTCATTTGTATCCAGAGGTTTTAGAAATCACTTCGGATTACGCGTAGTGCCTCCACGGGGTACTACAAGTTTATTAATCCTCGGTCACAACCGGCCTTTCTTGCGAAATTTCGAGTTCGCAAACAGCCCGTAAGCGCGTACGGATATATTGGACATGTCCAACAAACTCTGCGAACAACCAGGCCGCAAGTGTAACTTGCTCCCCTCCCTCGAAGTTAGCAGGGAGTTCGCAAGAAAGACGTGCGATTTTAAAGGTATTGTGGGAAGAAAAACCGTGACCTAAGACCCTCGCCGTAAGCAATAAAGGAGCATATTGCGTGTTGAAAACGGCGCACCTCCTCACAACTTACGAACATCATCGAACACGGCGGGAGTGCGGCACACGTGCGTCACTCACACGCAAGGAGAAGAAAGGCGTGCGCACGGCGCACGTTCGCGTTTTGCCAATGATCATCGATTGTGCAACGTGTACAACAATTTTCAAAAAGCTCGAATTTTGCTCAATTTAGCTTCAATATGCCTCTAAGAGGCAAGGGATAGAAGCTTAGAGAGCAGAGTAGAAAGGAGGAGGAAGAAGAAAGAAGGGGAGAACAGGAGGCAAAGCTGACGTACGCTGTCAGTACGTCATAACATTTTCTCTACTTCTATGGTCATAACGAGAGTATGGAGCAAGTCCGACGCAAAAGTGACGCAAGTATGAATTACTTTCGCCGTGTATTGTATTCTCTTTGTAAGTTGTGAGTGTGTGCCACGTGCGCAAGTAGCAAGATAAACTCAAGAAATGAGTACAATTTCCACGGCAATCGCACTAGTAATAATGAGCGTCCCTGCTTGAAACGATATCTCCCTGTGACGCGCAAGGCAGTCTTGCGCCTTACCATTGCAACCCTTCTTCTACCGCTACGAACTCTACTGCACACAAAATTCGCAGGCGATGTACGTTCCTTAAAACTGTGCGTCCGGTCGTGACCGAGGCTTAATATATTCTATATTTTTTTTTATTTTGTCATTACGCTTATGGTTTGCAGACGTCTTCTCTTGTCCAGTTTGTCTGAATGTCGTCTGGTTGTGCGCTCGTCTTTTTAGATTGTTTCTATATACTATGCCTGTGTAGGGCATATTATTTCTAATTCCTGTCCAAAGCACGTGTTTCTTTGTCGGCAGGGCACGTGGCGTTTACGTGTTTTGACAATCCAATAACGTGATCGTGCAAGTTTGTGTTTTCGAACAAGTTTTTTCATCGCAAAGTCACCTTTAAAAATGTCATACGATGTTGAGACTTCCTACCACTGATACAAAATTATATTTATATTAGTTTGATAAGTCATATTATTCCGCAAACAATAACAAAGAAAAAAATGAAAGGCGACAGCTTTAGTCTTACGTGGTTACTTCTGTTCACAGATTTTGACTTTGCGCCTGATCTGTTGCCACACGGATTGGAGAACTCACTATTCCTAGCCGTATGACAATAGATAAGGTGACCAGTCCATACAGGTCATTTACCTAGTGAAAGGTCTCAGATTGACACCGCAACGTCGGTCAGTTGCTAAATGTAAGTTCCAGTATCAGAGTTATTCATATTGTATCGCAACTGACTGAGTTTTTTGATATTGCGACTAGCTCAGATCATTCATTTATGCCAACAACGGCCTAAGAGTTTTGTTTGCGGAGCGTGTACATTTAATGAGAAAAAATAAGAAGATTGGTATATGCAAGCTTAGAGACCATTCCCACAGATATTTAGAACGATATATCCCCCTGGGGAGTCTCACTAAATTGCTGTCAACTTGGCCTGCTTAAATGTCTGTCACGCCTAGTTAAGCTGTTAGGGGGTAATTATCTTTACCCTAGCTGATTCGGTAGGCGTGACAGACATTTAAGCCTCTTGAGCTAACAGCAATTTAGCGTGAATCCCCAGGGAGTTAGGTCGATCCAGATGGATTGATCTAAATCTGTGGGAATGCAGTCTTAGATAATTTTGTAAAAGGGTTTGCATTAGTATTCAAATTACGCATCTTCACGTTCCAAAAAGAGTTTTAAAAGTAGCTAGCAAAAGTAAAATATAAAAGAATAGACTTCCATTTTTTTTTTTTTTTTTTTTGGGGGGGAGGTCCAGCATGTGAATTTGCTGTCGAATTAATTTCTTACGCGTTCATTACAGGGGCTGAGGTGGAAAACTATGGTTTCCAGGAGCTGCGTTCTCTTTGCCTTGCCTGTAATGTCATAGATAACCTTCCAGGGAAGTTCTTTTTAATGAAGCAGCTACAAGAACTGGATGTTTCGTATAACCGCCTGACTCAAATTCCAGCTGCCATACGAAACTTGAAGGTAATTTGCAGCGACTGATAAGTGAGGGAGATAGTGCTTTGCTCTACCTTTCTCCCACCTAAATTAAAATAACAGAAAAATGCTGTAGGTTCACACTTGCTCCAACAGCTCGGTCGACATAGGTCTACTTAAAATCCTTTCCGTTATAATGACTTTCAGTACAAATCGGGAGTCTCAGAAAAAACATTCTGCCCTATTGCTAACGTATTTCCCTTCTCTGCTACACGAGTTAAAAACCCGAACATTTCCACTGACTTATTGTATGTGAAGTCTAGGGCCAGATCCATTACAGGAAGTCATAAAGTTGTAAGTCCTCCCGCAGATTTACATTTATCGGCCAAAATGTAAAAAGGAAGAAAAAGGTTTTAGGTTTGACTGCTTATGCGCGGTCTTAAGTAGTGTGCCAACAGAGTGTTTTTTTACGCGTCCTATATTTTTTGTAAATGCAATATTTTTATCAGTTGTGACTTTGCGAAATACCAACGGTCAAAATGACAATCTGATTTAAATTTCATGAATCAGATCGTTATTGACAAGTTTTATTATGGTCACATTTTATATGGTTCCGTTATTTCATTATTTTATTTCATGTTTGCGTTCTTATTCGTCTTTATCTCTCTGGTCGAATTAAAATGTAAAAACTCTTTCAGAAATTGGCGTAAGTTCCGTTGTTGTCATTCTGGTCCTAGTGGTAACTGAATAATTATTTAAACATACATGTAGCACTCTATAGCGACATTTATGCCATTGGATTTGAGTATGACATTATAGTGTCATGTGTTTTTGATTAGTTTAGCTGCAGATCAAGAAAGGTGCAGAAGATACATTTACCCCCTCCCCAAATAACTTTCGCTCAACTGATATAATTAGGTCATCCTTTTCCAAAAAATACAATTACTTTGTTATTCTTAATTTTTCTTTGTCAAGTTGTTTTTTTATTTCAGAACTTGGAGTTTCTTCGATTAACGGGCAACCGGCTGCAGACGATTCCTTCGGAAATCGAAAGCCTTGACCGTCTGTTGTATCTCTGCCTTTCTGAAAACGCTCTCGTCGACATTCCAACAAATGCGCTACATCGACTGATAAACATAAAAAGCCTTTGCCTGAACTCGAACAGACTTCCCTGTGAGGTAGTAAAGGGTATACAAGTGATACAGGAAAGCTCACCCTTCGTCAAAGTTAGTCTCCGTGAAAACTGCAAGTATTTCATCGAAATAAGAGACGCCTTCAGAGCGAAACTGCGTAAGAGAAATTGATTTTATCAGATTGTTGTTTAACTTTGAAGACGAAAAAAGGGGACTTTAGGGAATAAAAAAAACATATTATTAGATTAACCAAGAGTTCTTAAAGATGCTTCGATATTTGTCTACCATCACATTTTGTTAGTACAATCCCCAAATAACCCTTTTTAACAGATTCCATTTCGTTTTTAGCGGAGATAGAAATGTAAATTAAATTGAATTAAATTAAATTTTAATTATTTAAAAATACATGTACAAATGGATGTAACTCCTCCAAGGCATTAGTTCAGCCTATTTGAAAGGTAAATCTCTCTCTTTTAGTTCGTGTCTGCCACAAAAATAAGGTCGCTGTTTTCAAGCAATTACAAATATCTTGCTCCTGTAACTGTATAAAGATCCATGTAATGTTATACATTATGACAGATTAAAATAAGGTCAACCACTGATAAAAAATTCCATCTCACTGATTTGGTTGCAGAAAATGAACTGCTTTACAATTTTTCTCTCATTATATTTGGTTCATAATTATCCCATTCCCTTTTTATTTATATATTCATTTATTTATTGTAGATCAATATTTTGAGAAAGATGGCAAGATCGACTTCGAGTCAGATGTGTACGTCATGCACGCCGACCACGCAGAAGATTACGCTCTCGTAGACCAGGAGATTGTCCCACATCTGGAGGAGCGGAATCTCAAAGTGAGCAACCGTCTATTTTTTTCTTGTGCCCAAATCGAGTAGAAAACGTAGTAATACTTCACATATTCAAAGTTCGTGATTTACAAAACGAACACACAATGTGAATATTTTGAAATGTAAATCGACAGTTGATAGTTGCAGTTTTATAAAGGATGTTTTATGAAGGCTATCCAACATTCAAGCCATTTTGTTGTTGATTCATTCTTCTTTAAACATTGTTCTATTTACATGAATAATCAGGGTAGGAACTTTTTACACTTGTCAGGGCAAAATGTTTTTGCGATTTCTCAATGTTTTGTATGCTGGCACCTACACAATCTGCTCTGTTTTTATCGTGAGAGCATCCCCATTAACCTTAATTCAAAAAGCATATGTTAATAAGTGGTTGTTTGAGGTTAAAAAGTGGTATTGGCAACCTTATATCCTTTAACTTCCAGGTAACGGTAAACATCCAAGCCCTGAGGCCTGGCTTACCTGTCAGCGATCAGCTAGTACATTTTATTGAATCATCGAGGAAGATCTTGGTTGTTTTCACCAAGAACGACGTCTTTGAACACACTTGCAAAGAGACCCTGACTAAAGTAAAGGCAGCACTGGAGAAACGCAAGAAGGAAGTGTCAGAAACATCACCCATTGTGCTTGTAGAGTGGTGCCCCAAGTCCAAGGTGCCACATGAATTCAAAGATTTGTATGTTATTCATAGACGGACTCCGACGCATGAAAAACATTTCTGGCCAAATATTATAAATGCTATCACACAATAGAGATAAAATGTGAAATTCAAACAAACCGCACAGTTGGTTTAGGTAGTATATGCTACACATACAAATAAGCTCGAACTCAGTTATTAATGGGAGGTTATCAAGAGTTTAAAGGGATAATAACTCTTCGTATGAGATCTATATTTCACAATAAAAACATTGTAAACAACTCATAGAAATATAATATATTCTGTTTTACCACAAAAACGGCAGTTATAGCTATTATTCTGATATCTGAGTTTGTCATCAGATCACGTGACCTCCATAGATGACTATACTCCATAACAATCTCTTAAGAGTTTATTACTTTATTGTAATCTCTTAGGAGATTATTGCAAAAAAAA